TAGGCGAGGTCCATGCGACTCAGGGCGTCGAAGGCCCCTAAGCGTCGTCGCAAAACATTAGTGTGTGTCAAGTCCATGCGACTCAGGGCGTACGAAGGCCCCTAAGCGTCGTCGCAACATTAGTGTGTGTAAAAACCCACAAACTTGTACAATATCAATAAACTAATTTTTATATACGGAACCACAGTGTGGATATATTTTATCCCTGCTGACACAAAACAGAGACAGATCCTTGATGTACACAAAATGTGCCTCGTTGTTTCCGTGCACATAGAGAAGGTTGACATGCTTCTCTTTTTTATCATCAGTGAGACGCAGAGGGATGATTTTGGAGTCTTCTATAGTGAAAACGTTGACGGAGATGGTGTTCAGTTTCTCGCATTTTGATATTTATGGAAGCGTCATGGGGAACTCTATGCCGCACAGGTTGAGCATCGTCGAGTAATGTGGATATTCGATTGTTCTTTCCGGGTGTTTTTCCGCTGGATGTAAAGCGGCGACGACTGCCAACGCAAAGCACGCATTATCGTTTGATTTCACGTTGACCACCGCCTTTTTTAACATAATTTTCCGCGGTAACTCGATGTGGCACCCTGCGCGTAGAGGATTCAACTTGTTGACGTTGATTGTTAGGTTCAGGATACGTCACAACGCCCATCCGCTGTCGTGTTCCTGAAACTCCTCCAGAGATGCCTGTATGACGTCAACCACATGCTTCGTGTACCACTCTTGTAAATCAGATGTTGGATATATCTCATGATTCTTCGTGGCGATGGTCTTCACGGCTGTCTTGTTACCCGCGATAAATTCCCCGTTGAATGCGGTGTTGATTTTAACGTTTCCATGCTCCGCCATGACGCTCTGGATCCGCTCAATAACCGTATTTTTTATATTTTCCAAAAATTCACGAGGATCGATGAAGTCGGAATTGACAACCGCACCCGTCAGCACACGGTTCCTAAACGCCGTCTCGATCTCCTTCCACGTGTAGCCCTTCTTCTCGTATCCGCCGTATCCAGCACCGATGGGCACAAAACGCTCGTGCAGGGTGTTCCTCACACCCTCCAGACGCACAATTTGCGCCACCAGAGAGTTGACTACTCCGGTTCGTTGTCTCTTGCGACATTTTTCCCTCAGAGAATCGAAGTATTCGTCGCACTCGTAGTCCCATGGAAGGAACTCTCCCAACGTTTTAATGTTCACTGCTCGTACGGTAAGATCGCGCTCCTTCTCCATTGCGATTGCCTTTGAAAATTCATATTTTTCTCACTTGCTTTATATACCCGCTTGTTGCACATGACACTAATTAAAAATATCGATGATGTCATGCAACTTGAAATCTGACAACATGGCGCCTAAAAGTGGCTGCATAAGGGCCTATGATCTAAAAATAGCGATGATGTCACACAAATTGAAATCTGGCCGAACCTGCAAAGGATATAAACAATTCTCGGAACTATGAATCATTTTTGTATAAACAATCCTTATCTCTCTATGACTCATGCTTATATA